GCCTGTCACCTTTATTCGGGCCACTCTGCAAAGACTGGACCTGCTCCTCAACCCCAACAAGTCGACTCTGGTGCCATCACAAAGGATCAAGTTCATCAGGACAGTGCTTGATGCCAGAACAATTCACAGCACTAAACCAGTTGTTGCCATCGCTCGCCAACTTTCCGGTTTCCACAGCCAGGACGTTTCTCAAGCTCATAGGGCACAAGGTGGTGCGCACATATGTAGTTCTGTTTGAGGCTCAACATGCAGTCTTGGCTTGGGTTGACAATCAACTGGGGCACGAAAACATCAACATGGAGATCACGGTGCCTCGCCACATGATACTTGCCCTCCGATGGTGGCTGGGTCCCTGGTCAGTGATGGTTGGTGTTCAACTTCATGCTCCACAGCCCATGGTGTCTCTTGTCACAGACATGTTTGCTTTGGCTTGGGGGGCTTACCTTGAGGTCCTCGCCACGTAAGCTATATGGTCGACAAACTGTCGCTCCACATCAACATCCATGAGCTTTGTGCATTCCTCCTCACATGCCTCACTTTTCCACCATACCTTTGGGAGTGGTGTATGGCGGTCATGACAGACAATACCATCGCCACGTACTACCTCAGCAAACAGGGTGGAGCCCAGTTGTCCTCTCTCTGCCTGCAGGCCCTTCATTTGTGGGAATTGTGCATAGCCTACTCTATTTGCCTGAAGGTGTCGTACCTCCTGAGAGTCCAGAACCAGCTGGCAGATCGCCTCAGTCGCCACTTCTTTGCTCATGACCAGTTGTCCCCCACACCATTTTCCAGAAGTGGGGGGTTTTCCCAGCTTGACCTCTTTGCCACTCAGGCCAATTGGAAGTGCCCGTACTTCTGCTTGTTTTGAAGCCTCAGCCCAGGGTCCATAGTGAATGTGTTCTTGGTCCCATGACGCACCAGGCTGACGTATGCCTTTCCCCCATTTCTGTTGATTCACCAGGTGCTTCTCAAGCTTCTCAGAGACAGGGCGAACATTATCCCGACAACCCCAGCCTGGGCCTGTCAACACTGGTACCCCTGTCTCTTGGAGCTGGTGGTACAACTGCCCATCCACTTCCTGAGACCCCCCAACCTCATCACCACAGGCATCTTCACCACCCAGACCGCCACACCCTTGACCTCATGGCATGGCAGCTTTGTGCTTGGAATAGGTTCAACAAGTTCTCCTTAGTAGCAGAAAGCCCTCTACCAGGCTCACATACTTGGCCAAATGGAAGGAAGCCTTTCTTGAGTTAGTGCCTGCAGCAGCATCTGGACCCTTTGTCTACTTCTCTTCCACAGGTATTGGTGTATCTGGTATCCCTGAAGCAGCAGCGTGTAGCAATTTCATCATTTAAGGTGCACTTGGTGGCCATCTGGCTTTCCACCTGAGGGAGGCTGGCCATTCTATCCTATTGAGCCCCCTAGTAGGGCACTTTCTCAAGGGTAAGAACAGACTTCACCCTCTGGTTTAAGACCCTGCCCCTGCTTGGGAACTTAATCTGGTCCTCTCAGTGCTTAACGGTCCCCCCCTTTGAGCCCCTGGCCACATGCTCCCTGCTTTACCTCTCATGGAGGGGTGTCTTTTCTGGTTGTGCTCACCTGCACTCGGCGGATGTCGGAGCTCTGCGCCCTGACATTGAACCCCTGTATGCTGTCTTTCACAAGGACAAAATCCTGTTTCTCCCTCATCTGGTGCTTCTTCCAAAAGTATTCTTCATCTTCCACACCAGGCAGGACATTTTCGCCATGTGCCCTAAGTCCCACTGCGCTCCGCTGATGTGAGGCACACACTCGCCTTCTACACTGACCCTTTAGCAAGTCCTCGTGGCTCTTCATGGCGGTGGCAGACTATGTAAAGGGACAACCAGTCTCTTCACTGCACATCTCTTCTTGGATCGCGGCATGTCTCTGTGTATGTTATGATTTGGCCGTGGTCTCCTCACTGCCTCTCCTGGCACATTCCATGTGAGCGCAGGCCTCTTCAGTGGTTTTCCTGGATCATTTATCACTCCAGGAAATCTGTAGAGCGGCACCTTGGTCTACATACCATCTCATTGCACTACGCCATCATGCTACAGTCCAGACAGGACACGGCTTTTGGTGCCACGGTTCTCGAGTCAGCCATGCTCTGACTGTAACCCCTCCTCCTGGGCAAGGCTTCTGATGCTCCTAATTGGAATAGATATGAGCAAGCACTCGAAGAAGAAAACACGGTTACTCACCTTTTTAACTGTTGCTCTTTGAGATGTGGTGCTCACGTCTATTCCACATCCACCCTTCCTTCCCCGCTGTCAGAGTAGCCAAGAAGGAACTGAGAGGCAGTTGGGTTGGTAGGGTTATATATAGAGCGTCGCACTGGTGCCACTCTAGGGGGCTCCATAGCTGACCCAATGGGTAGCAGCTGAGGTAAAACTTCTCAGCAGCCGTGCCCAAGGCATGCGCACACCTATTTGGAATAGATTTGAGCAACACATCTTGAAGAACAACAGTTATTAAAGTGAGCAAACCCTTTTTTCTAAGGCCTGCGTTGTGCAGGAGCCAGTCTAGATTATCACAGTAGTCCCTCCTGGACTGAGAATCTATGCAAAATGAAGTTTTTTGTGTAGCCAAAACTTCCCACTCTTCATGGAAGATGCTTTTCTGTCCAGACTTTTGTGTCGTGGAGATTAACTATAAGGTGTGATGTGCCTTTTGCACTTACAGTGCTCATTGGACAGACATATAGGGAGGCAACTGCTGCAACTCGAGTTGAAACCCGGCCAGATTTTTCAGATAGTTCATTCACTGAAGTGCTGTGTTGAGTTGGCTGAAACTATTGGCGAATTTGAGTCTAATTTATCAAGTAATTTTGTCCGGGGAAAAAATGGGGATACATTTTTCACAGCAGTCAAAACATGTTGCTTCAGTTTTTATTAGAATGAAACTTCTCGTTTTGAAATGTCGCTGGCTTTATTTAAAAAATATTTAAAAGTATGGAATCAACAAAAACAAAATGAGGAAAAAACAATCAATCATTTCAGGACAATTTTAAATGAAATTTTGTGGAGAATTTTTTTTTTTGGGGGGGGGGAGGGCTCCTGGATCAAAATATCAGTTCTTCAGACAGCTCCAAACTCAAGCCCAGGCTTCCAGCATAGGTACAGTCATGTTTTTCCCTGTCCCAGGTGCTTATAAACACTAAGGCTACATCTAGACTACAAGCTTCTTTCGAAAGAGGCTCTTTCGAAAGATACTTTCGAAAAAGTCTCTTTCGAAAAAGAGCATCTAGACTACAACCGGTACTTTAAAAAAAGCAAGCCACTTTTGTGAAAGAGAGAACCCAGGCAGTCTGGACGCTCTCTTTCGAAAAAGCAGTTTGCATTGCATAGCACCTTTTTTCAAAAGAGCACTTTTGAAAAAAGGCATTATTCCTCATAAAACGAGGTTTTCCGCGGTTGAAAAAACTGCCGCGTTCTTTTGATTTACTTTCGAAAGAAAGTGGCAACAGTCTAGATGCAGGGAAAGTTTTTTTGAAAAAAGGCCACTTTTTTCGAAAAGCCCTGTAATCTAAACACACCCTACCTATATGGGTGCTTGGAGAGGATTGAAGATGTGTTTCCAGAATGATGAAGAGTCAGAAAGGAGCTTACCTATGAGTGACTGGAAGGTTCCTGATCAAAGTATTGTTTTAATGCTACTGGGGTTATGTTGTAATAGTAATTGTCTTTTTTTTTTTTTTTTTTTTTTTTAAATCGTGGAGGGTCATTGATGTAAATTGGCATAGGTTCATTAACTTTAAAGGGAGATACTCCAATTTTCATCCACTGGGAATTTGGTCCAGAAAATAGATTTACTCAGAGTCCGCCTCCCACTTCTCTTTTTCCATTGCACAGCAATTTAGATAAAAGATGCAGTGGGTCTATTTCTTGTCTCTTGCTGGTTTTACACTAGTAGGACTCCCTTTACCACAGTTACTCCACAAATGTGAGAGCCAAATCTGGCCCAGTGTGTAAATCGAAGTAGAATTGGGACTCCCTGCCCACGATGACTAAGAACGAGGCATTCCCTTTCAGCTCTCCTTTTGTTTATTGTAGTCCTTTTAGTGAACTTCACAGAGTAGGGAAGCTGAAGAGGTCAGACATGATCCTGTTAGAAGCAGGTTTCACACCTCGGCATCACTGCAGCAACATCGTGGCGAGGTGAGAACTTGGATGGAACCACTGATATTGGTGCATGATGTGAAAAAGCCCAGCACCCTCTTTATTTCTTAGAAAATACCTGTTTGTAGGGAAGCACAGACAGTCCCCTCCCAGTAGCAGGGTTTGTCTCTTAGCAGCAGACTAGATTTGTTCTTGTCAGCACGTTTTCTCGTGGTGATGATTTGACTTGTTTATTGATTAAGCTGTTAAATGCGCCTCTCTGCTGCTCCAGACACATTAATAAATTCCTGTGCCATTAAAGTGTGAAGTGATAGGAAGTTAAACTCAAAACAACTCTCTCTCCCAGCCCACTCACCCTCCCAGAAGGTTGAATCCATACATAGGCCTGGCCGCAAGCCTAACGTCCCTTAACAAATTAAGACGCGTATAATGAATGGTATCTTAATTCCATGCGATCATTAATTTAATTAGTTACTATATGAACATCAGTCTGATTTAATGTTTCCTGCTGTCAAATCATTTCCGTTTTGACGCCAACTCGCTGCATTTGACACCAAAAAAGCTTAGGCCAATTTTTTTTCAAAATTGAGTGCTTTCAACGTTAGACACCAAAGTCTGGTTTTGGACACCTCCATAAGTGTCTTGATTTTTTTCAGACCCACTGAGCACTTACAGCTCCCATGCCTTGGCTCAGCACCTCTGAAGATCAGGCCACTTTGATTTTGGGAGCCTTTCTCGAAGTGCTCACGTTTGAGTGCGTTGTCCTGAGACACCATCACTTGCTTTGCCATCTTTGCACTCGGTTGGCTTTTCCAGTGCAGTGTATCATAACAGCCCTTTTTTCTGCTGCGGACCCAGGTGCTGTTATTTCACGACCAAAACTATGGAATTCATTATGAATACACCATTCCTGTAAACTATACCGCTGAAAACAGAAGCGAGCCAGAAAAACAACAGGATTCTTTGTACATCTGGACACACAGCGGATGGGAAGGATGCAGTGTGCAGTGTGGAGGAGGTAAGGCCAGGAGGGAACGTGGTGCGATTTGTTTTGTACAGTGTTCGCCAAGGCAGGCAATAAAGAGAGGTGAATGCAGAACACAGGCTGCAGTGCTGCCAAAGCACAGACATCACGAGGAGGGCTAAGCTGCGGAAATGGCTGTTGGCATGGCAATTGGGTGAAACGAAAGCTCGCTTTCACCAGATCTGCAAGTTAGCAGCAGCCCTGCCGTCTGTTCTCAGTCGGCGTTCTGGCTGGGCTGCTGCTTTGTGGGTTCATTACTAGGTAGTGGAATTGCACCTGGTTTAGTGCTTGGTGGATAGCTCAAGGCACTTGTATGCAGCCCCATAGCTCAAGGCCCGGTCAGATTCTTGGAGCGGGAGGTTTTGCAGGGATGCATGCATATGTCCTTGAAAGAAGCTTCCTTCTCTGGGGAATCAAATAGGAGCAGTCTCACTGAGAATTTGCTGTAGATTGCATCAGAAACAGTTAATCAGCTATGGCATTCTGCCGATCACACTTTTCAGAGGGTTTTTCCTGGGCCATTCTGGGATAGATTCGTGAAGCCAGAGAACCCCACAGAAGACTGTTAATATTGTCTCTGCCACTATCCATCAGCTTTATGTCTATGGGAGAGACAGTTTTAATTCTCCTAATGGAGTCAGGCCACTTCCCATACACCCTGACCAGGCTCCTTTCACAACTAACACTGGGGGGTGCCAGCTCCAACAATTCATCCCAACATGAAGATACCACAAAGGTATTAAGGAGAGCTCAACTTAAGCCTTCACTGCTTGTCACGTTGCCACCCTCAGGATCCTCCCACCTCAGAATACTGAAAGCCTGTAATTTTTTTTTTTGCTTATAAAAGAAATCGATTTAAAAATGGACTCGTTTCCTTTTCTTTCACCGTAACAATTTCTCCGATCACTGAGCCCTCACAAAAGCAAATCTTAAACCCGTGGGTCTTAGGTACAATATGCTCCCCACATGGTTAGAGGCACAAATATCACCTTGCGGCAACATGGCTCCCACCATCAACGGGCTCAGATTGGTCAGTTCTTAAGCGCTTTGGTTTTCAGACACATTTCACTACCTGTTCTTTGTGGAAAGGGTTTCTTCCCTTTGGCACTTTGTACAAACTCACTTATGGTTCTTCGAGTGATCAGGGACTTAATTCACACCGGACTTTCCAGTGACAGGATTTTGTGTTGATTAGTCATACATGTGAAAAGCAGCCAGAACTAAGATTACAATGGGAGATGCTTGAGGAGTATCCCCCAAATAAATATCATTAGGGTAAGTTTGCATGGTGAGAGGGTGACTTTAAATAGTGACATCATGAGGCTGACTCACTATGTTGAACAGCAACTTTCTCACTGTTGCAACACAACATCTTCGTGTCAAAGTGGATTATTGAGCCCAAGGGGCCATGTTCATCCACAGAAATAAGTCCTGTCTCCTACCCCCTCCCCTCCCTGCCCTCTTCTTAGCTGATGCAGAGACATAGGTTGTGTGGAAATAGCATGGAGCATGGTGTCTTGAGCCTGAGAAGTTCTATGGAGGTTGGATGACAACCAGACCAAGCAACTGAGATTTGGGGGAAATGTCCAGCTATATTACAGAAAGTGCACAAGCAGCTTGTGGCCAGAAGAAATGAGAGAGATTGTGTGGTAAGTAGATATGGTGGTGGTCCAGTGATCTGCAGGAAGCAAAAAAGAAGAATGAGGATGGCAGAACGTAAAAGTGATGGAAAGCTATTAGGCTGATACAGAACATAGCTAAATGAGTGATTGCAGAAGCTAAGGGTCAGGCATTTAGAGATCTGCTCAAATGAAGAAGGGGGAAAGGAATATGTCGAGTAGCCAAGAAGCACAGAGAACTTGGGAGCTATGAAGTGTGTCAAAGATGAAAATGGAAGATGGTGAAATCATTAGTGGTGACGGCAGTTTTATGAGAAACTGCTCAGTGAAGAGAATGTGAAGACACCCTGGAGGGAAGTGTGCACAAGCAAAAACCTGAGAAGACCTATCACTGCGATGGAGACACAGACAATGCTAAAGACAATGAAAGGCGAGAGGGCGGGAGGAGCAGGTGATATACCCAACTGGGGCATTTAAAGCATTAGGCCTGAAGGAATGGTGATGATGTCAAACTTTTTCAACTTAATTCTTCACACTGGAAAAATCCCCAGCGGGTGGCAGAAGAGCAAGTTGGTCCCTAACTTCAAGCATAAAGGAGATGTGCAAGCGTGTAGTCATTGCTGAGCGATAAAGATGACGAGTCGCACAATGAGGTGTCTGGAAAGAATTATTGAGAAAAGACTTTGAGAGGGGCTAGAACGTCAATTAAGCGACAACCAAACTGGGTTTGTATCAGGAAGGCCAACAATGCATCCCGGGTTTGTACAGGAAAAAACAAAAAATGGTCTGGTAGCACTTTATAGACTAACAAAACATGTAGATGGTATCATGACCTTTCATGGGCATAGCCCATCTGTCCTGTTAGTAATTGCAATGCGCACCTTGATGCAGGAGTTTAGTAGAGAGGCTCAGTGGAGCATGCTTTTCACCAACACTGTTATGTTGCACAGTGAAGAGCCATAAGAATTGGAAATGGACGTGGAGCTAATGGAGGTCTGCAGTAGAAGCAAATGGCTTATGCGTCAGCTCACAAAAGGTGGAGTACGTATACTGCTTTGAGAGACAACCGGAAGCCAATGAAACTAGATGGGGTCAAATTGATGTCCATGCAACAATTTAAGTGCTTTGGGTGAGCAAAGCCATGATCGGAAAGAGGACGATGATATTAGGAGCCCCGTGAAAAGTAGTTGGTAGAAGTAGAGGGACTGATAGGAATTATTTGCAATAACAATATGTAAACTAAACTAATGAGCAAACCAAATTAAGAGGTGGATTGGGCCAGCTATGATGTACAGGTTGGAATGCTGGCCAGGTTGGAAGAGGAAGGACAACTACCTCCTCCAAATGCTGAATCAGATAAGAGCTGATACGCTATGCAGTGAAACAGTAGGAGCCATGATAAAGGTAAACTCCCCCCTACCTCCCATCCCCATGAAAAAGCTGAGGGAATATTAGCTGGACCGTATGAGATGATGAGTTGCAGGATATATTCCCCAGAGCCTGGATGAGCTAGTAGTCACAAGAAAGACCTCGAGAAAGACCTTGCCGAAAGAGGTGTGAGACACTAAGAGAAGACTTGCAAAAGATGTGAGCTTGTAAGAGGCAATTGACAGGAGCACTTGGAGATGATGAACAAGAGCCACAAGCTCCAATTGACAAGATAAGAACGACCATACTGGGTCAAACCAAAGGTCCATCAACCCCAGTGTCCTGTCTGCTGTCAGTGGCCAATACAAGATGCCCCGGAGGGAGGGAATGCAACAGGTAATCTTCACATGATCCCTCCCCTCTCATCCACTACCAGGCAAACAGAGGCTAGGGAACAAGAAGCAGAGAAGAGACGACTCTTGAGCCTGCTGTTTCTAATTGGCAGCACTTTTTAATAATAATATAATAATAATATAAGGTGCTATACCTATCTCATAGAACTGGAAGGAACCTTGAGAGATCATCGAGTCCAGTCCCCTGCCTTCGCAGCAGGACCAAGTACCATCCCTGACAGATGTAGTACATCGCAGAGGACCTGAGGGCCAGAAATGGTTTATATTTTATCTGCTTATTTCATTCCCTTGTAAAATCTGAGTAAGCCCAAACTGCAGCCTTTGAAGCCTGGTCCCTCCTTTCAACATTCTTGTTGCTGTATTAAGTGAGTTGGACGTCAGTCAGTATGAAGGGGAAGAAGCAGGAAACTCAGGCTAAGTGATAGATCTCACATCATTATTAGTCATCCCCAGAGGTGGTGCGTTATCTGGCTCCACTTTATTTCCCAAGGGAATCTGTGATCGGTGATATGTCGGTTACAGCAACACATGGAGGAGGAACCTAAATCAATGCAGTTTGCTTTCCAGGTTGTATTTGGGTTAAGAGTTGAAAGCTCAGGGTACTAGCACTGCTCAAGCAGTCACCTTCTTGCTCATCATTAGGGCCCTACCAAATTCACAGTCATGAAATATGTGTCATGACCTGTGAAATCTGGTCTGCTGCATAAAATAACATTGATAGGACGTAGTGAGCCGCCTCCAGTAATGAGCTAGTTTACTGGCTTCCCATTGTTTTTGGTTTTGACTTTTAGGGGAGCGTAAAACCATTGTGTCCTGTACAAGGATCATCAACAAGACCATGATGCTGGTGAATGACAGTGACTGCCAGCGTGTGATGCGCCCTGAACCCCAAGTTAGAAGATGTAACACACATCCCTGCCAGTCACGGTAAGGTGCTTAGAAAACAAAATCAGCCTCCTTGTTTCTTGCAACTGCCCTTCTCCAAGGCACCTCTCCACTGAAAACGCTCAGTATATTTGGAGACAATAGGGCACATGGTTAGCTGCAATATCCAGCTATAACACTTGTTGAGCAGACCCGATTTTCATTACCTTAGAGCACATTTAATTTGTGATAGGTACATCAGGATTCCCTGCAGCCTATATACATGTTCTTTGTGTTTTTTCTTCCCCTAAACTGCATAATCTGGGAGACCAAATAGTTTACTGAATTTAACTAGACAGTGTTGCAGTGATGGCATACCTAATCTAGTTTCTTTGTTCAGTGCAAATTAGGACTTGATTAGTTGTCACACCCTGATGGAAAGAGTAACATGGCCTTTAAACCTTACCTAGTGTGAGATACCAGGGTGCAGCCCAGAGCAGTAAGGGGTGAGGTCACCCATGCCCAGCAATCATGGATGCCTTTTTACAATGCCTTCTTTAAAGTAGCTGCCCACTGAGTCCCTCACAAGCAGCCTTCCAGCGTGCAAGCCAGACCCTAAGTGTCTGCCTGTAGCTGCAGCCTGCTAGCCACTCTTGGGTTACACGCTAGCTCTTACTTGGTTATTCTGCAGGGTGATCCCAACACAGTTCTAGTCTTGTTTGATCTGTTATTTATTTCCTGAAAAGAAATAATATGCCCCCAATTTGTCACCCCAAGTGGAGTTTCCCAGGCACTTCAATGTCAACCCACTGGATTAGAAAAAAATAAGTTACGAAGAGAACGATTTCGAGTACAAGGAATGAGGCATAAAGGTCAGAAATGATTACAAGAAAAATAAAGCTAAGACATTGACTATAGTGCCTAACTCAACAAATTCTCAACAAAGATTCAAGAAAAGTTTTGCACGTCATCTGCTTTCAGCTGTCTTTCTGACCAAACTCCACAGGTCATAACTTCTCCCAGAGTCCAATAATTTTTTTACTTCAGATGGCATGAGGGGTGGGGGAAGAAAGAGGTGTCTTGTTGTGTTCCCCCATTAAGAAGCATTTCCAGTTGGGAGCAAGGTGACAGGCATGGAAAGGAATTCCTTGATGTTTCTTTGCTTGTATATAATTTTTTGCCCTCGCTCTTATTCCTGCCTAAAGAATAGCCACTTAGCAGGTAACAGTCCATAGGCATTGTTTACATTTGAGGTGTCTGTTGACTCTTTGTTTCAAAGGGACTGGTTTGGCCATTCCCCAGGCTTCTCGGGGAACTCGGAATCTCATTTTACATCCATGACTTAACAGATAATGCTGCTGTGAGCATTTTGCCTTGATACTATTGATCAGCAAAATATAAGTTTTGAAATGGCATTTTAGAAGACCTATTTTGTGTAACACTCATTACAGAAGTATGTAGGATGTGAACAAAGGGATATACTCAGTCTCATCTGGTCATATGCTTTGTGGTCATATGCTATCTGTACCACCTAACTAGTTTAGACTGCAAGCCCTTTCAGTGTGTCATGTTGCTCTGAGCTTAGTCTTGATTCAGAAAAGCACTTCCACACCTGATGAACTTTAAGTACCTGCTTAGGTGTCATTGTGTCTTGTATAGCATTTTTTCAGGACTGTGCAGTTACCGTGGACATGTCTAGACTTGCTTTCACTTTTGAAAGAAGATATGCAAATTCGGAGCAAACTTGCATATCTTCTTCTGGTCGCTTTTTCGAAAGAGTTTCTTTCGAAAAAGAAAGTAGTCTAGACGTGGTTCTTTCGAAGAAAAAAAAAAAAACCTTTTTTGAAAGAACTGTGTAAACCTAATTTTTTTTAGGAAGAACAGTTCTTTCAAAAAAGATGGTGTGCTATGTCCACGTAGGCCATGCTCTGCTTTGGGTGAAGAAATGTTGCAATTTTGCCTGGTCTCTACACCATTGGCATTGTAGTCACATTGCTGTTTAAGTAGATATCTCTCAGGCCCCAGCACAGTGACATCATGGGATACCACGTACACACCTGGAACTGTGAAAGCAGAGGCCAGACTCCCAAAACACTCAAAGAACTGTTCATAATTTCCACAGGGAAATTGCATAAACTCCGTGATGTGGTGGCTTTTCTATACCACTGTCTTAAGCAGGAGGTGCAGGTGAACTCTCAGCTCGTGATCCTAGCTCAGCAAGAAAAGATGGATCTTTTGAAAAGCCATTTGGAGTTGCTTGGAGTGGAGGCAGACAAGTGTGTGTGGGGGGGGGGGGGGGTGGAGTTGGCACCATGTCTAGGGACCTAGAGGCTGAAATAAGCAGCTGACTAAGTTCTGGAAGCAATGTTCTGTCATCTTTCACCACCAGCCAAGTGCGCTGTGGGACCCAGGTGGCTCTGTGAATTCTTGGGAACATGTGCATTAAGAATGTTATATTTAGATTCATCAACTAATCGAATAGTTGTTGTAATTTGCACTGACTATTCGATTAGTCGATAAGAGCACCTCTGCCTTTGAAATGTAGCAAGAGCCTTGCCCTCTCTTGCTACATTTCAAAGGCGGAAGCACTGTGGGGAGCACAGCCAGCAGGGGACTCAAGCAGTCCCCTGCTGGCCCTGTGCTCCCTGCTTTGAAATGTACAAGAGCCCTCCCGGCTCACCCCAGGCTCACCGCAGCGCTTCTGCCTCTTCTCCCCACAGACACGGTGCTGAGGGGAGCCAGCTTTTAAGCCAGATCCCCCCCAACACTGGATTCTGCTCCCCCCCTTAAGTGACTAGTCGTCTCACTAGTTAACTATCCGATAAGCATTTGCTCATCGGATAGTTGACTAGTTCACTAGTCACTTACATCCCTAGTGCGCATATCGTTCTGCGCCTTCTCTTCCCCACCTTGTACATTCACAGCTCTATAAAAATACTGAGCAATAACGATGGGCTGAGTTAAGGATGGAGTTAAATCATACGCTCCCATGCTGCTGAGAAAGGGCTGTTATCGTGGTACGTTCACATTGCCTCACTTGTTTAGCCCCTTAATGTTCTTCCAGGAGAGTTGTTTTTCTGTCTGGAATTAAAAGGCAACTTATAAGCACAGTTAAGCACAGCTTAACCTCAGAAGCAGTTTAGCGAGACATGGATGTTCTCATCAGTCCATTTTGTCAGAGCCATGGCAACAAACACCACATGTGCTTAATACCCAGGAAGGCCACAAACTCCAGCTGATGATGTGACAGACCACATACTCTCTTTCGCTCCATGTAGACCACACTTTCACACTTCACATGCTTTTGACTGGAAACATTTGCAGAAGCACATTCTCTGTGCCTCTGTAGAATTGAAATTTCCACTTGTGTTTGCCCACCCAGCTATTAGAAATGCATGCTTAGCATAGTCTCTGACCAAGAACATCTTAAAAAAACCCATTCTCTTTTACCATGTCAATGCTTTTTCTTTATGAGCCCTGAATTAGTTTTAGGGTTTCAAGTTAAATTGTTATAGCATCTTGTTACAGTAAGGTGCTTTCCCATTTCCGCTGGGCACGCCACTCTAGACTGGAATATAGAAAGGAACAATGGCTTCTTTTTTGTAGCAAATCTTTTTTCTCCCGTTGCTTTTGATTGAAGTTGCACAGGGTTTCTAGCCGTGGATGTTCCTGACCCTGACTTCGAATGTCAGTGGCTGGGAATTGGGCAGCAGGAGGCCTGGGAGCCCAGTGGGGCTGGTAGCAGCCTGGCAAGGGAGCGGGGTTTGCAGCCTCAGCAGAGGGGCCAAGGCCAGGACAGCAGCAGCCCGGCTGGGGAGATGGGGCATGGCAGCCCGGTAAGGAAGCCATGGCCACCGCTTTGCAGCACCCCAGTAGGGTCACCAAATTGCAGCAGCTCAGCAGGGGCGCTGGGACCACAGCAGCCCAACAGACCAGCAGGGAAGCCTGGGCCAGCAGCAGGCAGCCTGGTGGGAGGGTGACCAGCCAGGGTGTGAAACTGAGCCAGCAACGAGCTGGGGGGGGAGGGGGGGAGCTGGTGGTAGGGGACCTCCCCTTGTCTGGTAAATTCCTTCATGTGGGGCTGGTCAGGTCCCACGGCTGCTGGAGCAAGGAGGTCCAACCTGTACTAACAATAATATCTTTCTTGCAAAACAATCCCATGGTGCTTTGCAAATTACATCCCTTTGAAATGCAGCCACCTCTTGGGAGAAACAAATGGAGTAGGGCCAGGGGCAGTAATTCCACACAGCCCGGGAGGAGGTTGGAACCCAGCAACTCCAGTACAGCATCTGTAAAAGGTGCAATGAAATCCCGAATGAGGAGTTTGACACACTGCATTTTCAAATTAAATGTCAAAGAATAGAAGACTTTTTAAAAAATTGTTGAAACCGGCACAGATAAAAGGATCTTTCATTCTTTATTAGTGTTACTCTTTCACCTATTAAAAATGCCTCTTTTTCATCTGTTTCTTGACCTTCTTTTTCCATTAAATGATTTATTGCTTCCTTTCCTGCCCCAACTACACCCTATTAGCACCTCTTTTTTCTAATCCTCTGCCTGGGCCTATAGATATTTCTTTCAAAACCCTGCAGTAAGCATATGGAATCTGAATTCTTGCATGCGGGTTGCTTCCAATATACTGAACAGCAGAATAAATATATAGGAAAACCCGGCATTGGCATTGGCATGAAGCTAAGAAATCACAGATCACATCAGCGGTTATTATTGAAAACACAGGTTGGCCAGTGGCCACACACTTGCATTCATGGTCAGGGTCTGTGATCATTAAAACTACTCTCCCCTAACAGTACCAGAATCAATAAGGCCAGGACTTGCGTTGGCCTACATACAAGCAGGGTTATCTTGGGTTGGAGGGTAGACAGCTTAGTAGATGTTCAGTTCTTGCAGGGAACCATTGGATTTGTTGCTGCTCCTGGGCAGCTAGATAGCAACAGCAGCCAAAAACGTCATCTTTCATCTACGGCTAGATGCGGTAGGAGACTACACCAAGCTGCTGTCACGGCTTAGGGGCTAGCCTATATATGGCTCAGATACTGTGGTGT